ATTTTGAGTTGATTTTTGTGTATGGTGTGAGGTAGTGGTCAAGCTTCATTCTTTTGCATGTAGCGACCCAGTTTTCCCAGCACCATTTATTGAACAAACTTTCTTTGCTCCAATGCATAGTCTTTGCTCCTTTGTCAAAGATTAGTTGACCATAAATCTGTGGGTTTATTTCTGGATTTTCTATTCGATTCCATTGGTCTGTATGTCTGTTCTTGTTCCAATACCATGCAGTTTTGATGATTATGGCTTTGTAGTATAGTTTGAAGTCTGGGAGTGTGATGCCTCCATTTCCTTCTTTTTTTTTCAGTAGAGCTTTGGCTATTCGGGGTTTTTGGTGATTCCATATGAATTTCATCAATAATTGTTCTATTTCTTTGAAGAATGCCATTGAGATTTTGATTGGAATAGCATTGAATCTGTATATTGCTTTTGGTAGGATGGCCATTTTAATAATGTTTATTCTTCCAATCCATGAGCAGGGGATGTCTTTCCATTTCTTTGTGTCTTCTTCTATTTCTTTTAACAGTGTTTTATAGTTTTCTTTGTATAGGTCCTTTACCTCTTTTGTTAGATTTATTCCCAAATATTTGATTTTTTTTGTTTCGATAATAAAAGGGGTGGTTTTTTTGATTTCTTCTTCTTCAGATTTATTGTTTGTGTATAGGAAGGCTACTGACTTTTGCGTGTTGATTTTGTATCCTGCCACTTTACTGAACTGATTGATGAGTTGAATTAGTTTTTCTGTGGAGATTTTGGGGTTCTCTATGTATATTATCATATCATCTGCAAATAGTGATAGTTTGACTTCTTCTTTTCCTATTTGGATTCCTTGGATGTCTTTCTATCAAAGTTTAATGGAATTTTAAAAAATAAATAGAACAAATATTACTGAAATTCATATGGAGCCACAAAAGACCCTGAAGAGTCAAAGCAATCTTGACTGACAAATAAGAGAAAGAATGGTAATATTGCATGCTTCAAACTATAATACAAACCTATACTAATCAAAATAGTATGGTATGGGAACAAAAACAGGCACACATACTATCAGAATGGAAGAGAGTCCAGAAATAAACTTATATGTATATGGGCAGTTAATGTACAACAATAAACAATGGAAGAAGGAAAATCTCTTGAATAAATGGTGTTGGTAAAACTGACAGCTATATGCAAAAGAATGAATAGATCACTCTCTCACACCATACACATTAATCAACTCAAAATGGATAAAAAAAAAACTTGCATTTAAGACCTGATACCATAAAATATATGGAAGAAAATATAGACAAAACACTCCATGATATAGGCTTCAGTGAAATCTTTGTGGATTCATCTCCAACAAAAGAGAATATAAACAACTGGGATTTATCAAACTAAGAAGCTTCAACATAGTGAAGCTAAAAGCTAAAACAAAAACACAACTTACTGTAATGGAGAAAATATTTGTACAACATCCAGCCATCAAGAGGTTGATATCTAAGATCTACAAAGAACTCATACAAGTCAATAAAAGAAAACAAAGAATCCAATCAAAAAATGGGCACAAGAGCTAAAGAGGCACTCCTCCAAAGAAGACATACTGACAGCCAACAGGTACAGGAAAAAATGATCATCATCACTTACCATCAGGGAAATGCAAATCAAAACTACAATGAGATATACCTTCACAACTGTGAGGTTGGCTTGTATCAAAAAGACCAGAAGCAACAAGTGTTGGTAATGATGTGGAAAAAAAGGAAACCATTATACACTGTTGGTTGGAATGTGGAAAACATTATGGAGGGCTTTTCAAAATATTAAAAATGAATGACCATATGACCCAGCATTTCCATTCCTAGGTATCTAGACAAAGAATCCAAAAACACTAATTTGAAGGGAAATATTCATGCCTCTCTTCATTGTAGCACTACTTATAATGGTCAAACTATGGAAGAAACCTAGATGCCCAACAATAGATAAGGGGATTAAGAAGATATGGTATATAAGCACAATGGAATATTTCTCAGTTATCTAAAAAGACAAATTCTCGCCATTTTTGATAACCTAGAGGAAACCGGAGAGGGATTGTGCTATGCAAAATAAATTTTAAAAAATACAAATACTAGATGACTTTACTTGTGTGTGGAATATATAGAAACCAAAAAAGGGTCAGCTTAAGTCAAAATAACAACAAACCCTAGAAATATGACTCCAGAACTGAGGCTACCAGAGGAAGAGGGTATAGAGAGAAAACAAAGTAACAATGGAGTACAATGGACTATTGCAATGCACTGTGGGTGCCTTGGTGGTATGTGTGGTGGAGTAACATTACCTGACAAGGGAGTTCCTATAACTCTTAAATACAAACAATGATAAACCAATGTTATCTCAATAAAAAAAAATAAATACAGTTGAGTCTCATTTCAATTGTTAACAACAATTATAAAATTAATTAACATTCCATTAAAAAATGACCAAAGGAACAAAATAAAAAACCCAGGAGGAAACATATATTTGTATTTGTAGTTACTCTGTGATCAAGATCAAAGTACTAAAGAAAAGCAAGATGGTTTAATAGGTGAAATTTATGAAAACATTTAACTGTACAGAGAATAAACGGGATTGTGAGCTCAATGGTATAATGGTAAACCATATTTCTCAAAAACTATCCCAAATCCCTGGTTTGTAGATTTGACAATTCCCATGATGTAGCTACTCCACCCATGGTCAAGTTCATATTACCAACTTAAAGTCATCTGGCTCTCAAATTCCTACAAAATTAACAAACAGGTCTCCTGAGATAGTGTGAACCAGCTATAGCACACCACAAACTTTACTTCATACTATATGCAAAGGTCATGCAAATGAGCTTCAAAGGGAAAAATACAATTTTAAATCTTTTAGAAGGAAAAGATGACAGTATCTTTGTCTTTGATATTAGGAAAGTTTTCTTTTAAAAGATGAAAAAACACGGTCTTTAAAAATAAATGATTAGTAAGTATTATTGCATTAAAATTCAATGTAAGATTAAGGTCAGTGCATTCCTGACACTCTAATCCCAGTGCTTTTATTTATAAAAGATATCGGTAAATATTTGTTAAAATCAGGTAGGTAGGTGCGGTAACCTGTTTCCAAAGCTACTCCTTTCTGTAATGGCCGTATAAAAGAATCCGTTCTTATGTAATTATTCAATAAAATTTGATCAAGCATAAGCATATATGTAGTGAACTGACATTATAAGTATGTTATGAAGCTTTTAGCCTTGATATCAAATAAACCAGTGTTTGAATCCACAAATAACTGTGGAGCAGAAGAAAGCAGCAACACAGCTGTCTGGGCATGGCCAGGGCACCACTCTGCAAGTTATGTAACAGCTGTTGTGTCATTTTACTTTTAACTCAAAACACATTTTTAAAAAGAGAAAACAGTAAGAGTTTCCAAAAAGAAAAAAAAATTGAGTGAGGGAGAGAGAAAGAATGAGAAATATTGAAATCAAACCAGTCTCCTATCTTGTTTTCAAATATGAGGCACAGGAACGCAAGGAACTTGGAGTTGGTTGCCTTAGATTCTACAGAGCAGTCCCATGTGCCAAGTCTGGTCTACGTCCCATTTTTGTAAATAAAATTGTATTGGAAACTATCTTCAATCATTCATGTATCTATTGTGTAGAGCTACTTTCATGCAATCAGAAAATTGCAACAGAAACTGTCTGGCACAGAAAACAGAAAAGATTGTCTGTCCCTTTACAAAAAAATTCACTGATCCCTGTTTGAGATGATTAAATGTTTAGATTCTCAACCAGTCATGGAATTCTCTAATGGAGGGGAGGGAAGGGAAAATAACTAAGACTAAGAGCTGGCATTTTGGAGTTAGACTGACTTGAAATGGAATTCTGGTCCTGTGCTTAGTAGGGCTGTGATCATAAGCAAGCTACTTTCTCTCTGTGTCTATAAAATGGAGACCCAAGTGATGCTGGAAAGCGAAAGCAAGACTCCTGCACCTGCTTTGGAATTATTCCCCTACCTAAATCCTATTATGGGGGAAACTGGCAATTTTCACTGGGGAAAAAATGTTCTTCTTAATTCTTCGTAATCAGAGTTAAGAGCATCCAAAGTTTTCTCACTTGACACTACAGTAACTTTTGCTGCAATAAAATATTATACTTAAAATGGGAGTAGTGTAATTAAAAATTGTCCTTTTTGAATGTTTCCACCTTGAAACCACAGTTAATTTTAAGAACTTGAATTACTGGGGAGGCCTGTTCAAAGTAACTCTTTGTAAAATTGCCGATGTCAAAGGCTGGTAAATACTGCCAAATTCCAAAACCAGAAGTGACTTTCATTTGAAATGAGTTTTAACAGACGATATTGCCAGATTGCTATTGTGGAGACTGTGTGACACTGCACTCTGAGTTCCCTAAAAATTCTCAGGATTCTTCCTCTCCCATATATAAAATAAATATAATTTAGAGCTTCTGAAATCACAGTTGATTATCTACTTGCCCAACACTTGAATGCTGTGCTTTTATTTTTTTTGCTTTTTTTTTTTTTTTTTTGCTTTTTGTTTTAACATTAAAGCTAACTTAGAGACGAGACCAGATAGGGGGGTCTTTCTTTTCCGAACTGCATCCTGCTTTTTCCCCCAAACTGCATCCTGCTTTTCTGGGTCGTGGACTGCTTGTCTGCTAGCCGGTTCTGGAGACACCTAGTCAGGGTCCTTCCTCCCCAGTTTCTATTGAGAACAAGCGCCCTTTTAGACACTTTTTTTTTTTCAATCCTCATAGTCTCTCTGATTCCAAGTATGTCAGAGAAAACAAAAGTTTCACAACAGCATAAAAAGCCAAAAAAATAATAACTGGCCTCAGTGACCAGAGCAGCTGCGATGCGTAGCTTTATCACAGGTTTCGGCTTTGTAAATTAATTCGTCTGCAAATAGTGCCCCGTCTCCAGATAGAGCTCCACTGCTGGAGCGCTGGTTTCTTAAGGATTTAAGTTTAAAGTCAAGGGCTTCCTGCCCTAGGTGTTACAAATATGTAGTGTCGTTTTCTTTTTGCTCCGAGTTTGTACATCCAATCATATTTCGGTATGCAAATAAACCTTAGCCCCAGCAGATAAAAAGGAACAAATAAAGCCAAGTGCTCTATCAGAACCAAATCGCTGAGCCTGTCACCTGTGTTCCAGAAGCTGAGCCAGAAATGTCGACCCCAGGCATGCCAGAGTTACCTGCCCCGCTCTCCAATTTGAAGTTTCAGTATACTAAGGTCAGTACAATTTATGTTTGCTGCTTTGGCTTACAAAACTACCTTCATTTAAAGTATGAAAGGTCAATTTAAGTAAACTTGTGTAAAGAGCCCTTTGCAAATATAAAAATAAAAGGCTTGCAAATGCAGGTCTGGGTTTAGTGTCTTGATCAAATAATGAATTTTAAATCACCACAAGCAATTTTTCACAAATGTACTTCTTGAACTATTTCTAAGTGAAAGGAATTCTTTTTTGTATTAAAGGTTCTTGTGGCAGGATTCTGTGGACTTTAGGAAGGAGTTCTATTAACTTTGGCATAGCCCAGGATGTGTGATAAGAGAGACACACACTTGTGAGAGAAACTTATTAGAAAAACCCAAGCAAATTGGGAAATGATTTAAATTTTTTAAAAAGATAAATAGAACATGTTGAAGTAACATAATTTTTTATGTATTTAGTGAGCACAGAAATCAAAGGTCCTAAGCCTGGTAATTGGATGAAAGAGCCTGTTTCACAAAACTACAAGTGGACTTGCACTACTTAGCATATTTGGAGAAATAAAACATTTTTATTTATTTTTTCAGAGAAATCTGTTTCCATTGGAGCAGATGCATAATTGTTAACTGATAAATATTTAGAGAAACAAAAGCAAGAGCCAGATCCAGACTTAACACACAGCTAAGGAGAATAAGGAAATGGGTCCTGTTTGAGTCATTCAAGAGTATCTCTGCACTTTGCTCATTTCAGTGTTATGTGCCTTCTGTCCTGTCATATCTGAGAACTCCCAAACAAACACAACAAATACACAAAAGGCAGTCTAACTAAAATCGCTTAGTTAGCTTTATGTGTAAGAAAGGACCTATCATTGTTACAAGTCAGGGAGTCTTTATGCTTTCTGAATTACCCACTGAAAGGCCAAAAAAAGCATTTAAGCTGATGATAAACTCTGAAGTCCTTATGTTTCCTTACTTGTAACCATGAATGATTTTGAAATCCTAAGATCTATTGCATTTTCATTTTCATAACAAATGAGTAAGTTTTTCAGCTGACTGGCTTTTTTCCTTAGGAAACTGTCTGCAGAGATCAGGTTGTACCTTTAACATGATTGCCTATACACTGTATTAAGGTGTTATTTTCACAAGGTTTTATTAATAGGGGAAACATTTTTCCACTCAATTTAATTGCAAATGGGAACATGGAAAAGGTGGTTAGGCTACATCCTCATAGTTTACAATTAGCAAAGGTATGCCCAAGAGATAAGATTCCAGTTTTCCAACTTTCTTACCCCAAGTTTGTCATTCACAAGAAATTTCAATGCAAAGTAGGCACATTTTGAATTTCATAAAGATCAATGTTGGCAATGACTGAATGATTCCATTACTATTATTACAGTCTTTTTTTTTTTCTCTATGGTACTACTTAAGATATTTTGATAGTTGAAACGCCATATTTTAAAAGCTATTTGACTGAATATATTTGCATCTTTCTTTTATGTGTATCTTAACAAAGTTCTAGTGTGAAATACTTTTGCTGCTAAATTAAACTTCATTTAGCAGTTATTAACTGAGCATGGAAGAACCACTACCAGACAAATGAGAAAGGGCTTAAAGTCTAACACACAAACACAGATCTTGTGATTGTTTAAGAGAGAAGTTTTTAAGGTTGAAATCACCTGTTCACTTTAACGTATTACCCAAGAACATCCCTTTAGGGAAAATGACTGACCTAAGTATTCAAAAGGAGGCAAAATTCAGAGAGTAGGCATTTGCTCTTGTGTTAAGAACTCTGGGTAAAAAATACTAAAAAAAGAGAGTTAGTGCATTTTGATTGCTCACATATCGTCTCTATAAATCTGTTCTGCTCAAATAGCACTTTATTGTCTGACTTATTAGTTACATTTTCACACTTGGGAGGACATCAGTTATATATGTAATTAAATCTAAATGTGTGAGCTTTTTCAAGTGCCCTTGCATTTTTTTTTTTTTTTTTTTACTGCCCCTCACTGAAGAATTGTATTGGATTTGCACTTGCAAGAGGAGTTGGATAAATGATGGTGATTAACTAAGTTTCCTGGTTGCAAATCAAGTAAGCAAGTATTTAATAGTGTCTGAGGAATTGCCTTTTAAGGCCAGCCCCCTAACCTCCTGTATTACTTTTCTCTTACTATTTTAATGTTCTTTATATCACTAGAAGGATACTGGCCATTAAAACAAGGTGGAGGGAAGAAGAAGCAAGGCTGAGTAACAAAAACCACAACTCTAGCAGAACAACTATATACTCAGGCTTGAGACTGCTTTTCAGTTAGACAAAAGAAATCATTGATGCATATCTCTTATGACTTACTCTCTGATTATATTTTGTTGAGATGGATAAAACAAAGATCAAAGGTTAAGAAATACCTTCTAAAATAATAAAAGTTTTTAGAATTTAAGACCGCAATAACAACATTATAAATCTACATCAACTCAGATCCTATCTCTAGCATCCTTTGTCCCTTTTCCAATTTTAAATTAATCCCACATCTGGCAACCCATCCATTTTATTAAGCCTTAAAATGTATAGTTTCTTTGAAAGTTATCATGGGCCAAACTACATTACCTTTCTCTGCTTCGGTTTCCTTATATGTAAAATGGGGATAATGAAAGTACCAATTTCCTAAGAAGATGAAACCATCAAATAACTTTACTACTTATAAAGCACTTAAAATAGTGTCTGGCACATGAGAAGTGACTGATGAACATTAGCAGTCCTGGTCCTTTTCATTTTTGTGGATTTTTCCACTATTCCAGAAGCTTCTTTTTAACTCAACCTTTCCTTCCTGTTTTCCATAAGTGCTCCTCTCACCTCCTTGTCTCCCAGAATTTCTGTCACTCTTTCTTGCAGTCATGCCCCCTTGACAAAAATCACATTGGAGCAAAGTTCCAATGTTTTATCCAGGTTTCAGGGATTAAGAATTTTCTCTTAGAGGATTTGGTAATTTTCTTTTCCATTCTCCCTTCACAACATTGTTTTTTATCTTAAAAAAAAAAAAAAAAAGACAAATAGGAAATTCAAGAGGGCAAGCTTTCCCAGATGGGATTTAAATCCCAAAATATTTAACTCTTGAACTTACCTCACTGAATAATAGTTTGTTCATGTAAGAAAAGAAGAAAAGATCTTCATCTGCTAATGACATTGCACACACAGGCACACACACAGGCACAAATACAGAGGAAGTAGTTATAGCTAAAATTATTGTATCTTCTGTGCTAATAATTGTTTAAGTTCCTTACAGTGGTTTTACTTACCTCTCACAATAACCCTATGAGTAGGCAATGTACTATTCCTGTTAGCCTTAAGTTAGACAGTTAATAAATGATAAAGTTAAACAGCAAATGCTGGCAGTCTAGACCATCACACCAACAAATGACTTGTGTAAGATCAATAGCACTACATGGGGACATGGAGTTGCTGGAATCCCGTTCTGTCTTATTTCCAACTTTCATTTGTCCATTCCTGGCTATTGAAGGAGACATGACCATGAGCCTTTCCAGCTGCTGCTCATCTGTTCTCAGACCATTAGGAGAAAGCTTCCCACCAAGTTAGGACAAAAAAAGGAGAGAATAGTAAGTTAAGGTTGAAGCAAACAGACTTCCTGCTTTTATTGAAGGTGGGTTGAGCTGAGAAAGGCAGAGGACTTTGACATAGGCATACAATTTCTCTGTAAACTACATTTCTTCAGTGCCTATGGAATATATTTTGATTGGAGTAGCCGACTGTTTACCCTAGATTTCTGGTATTGTTATTTAACCCATCTGTAAGTTCAGGTGTGCATCATTAGAAATCAACATGTCTATATACTCGATCAATTTCACCACTAGAAGTCCAATTCTGTACTTCACCCTATTTATCCACCCCTCTCTCCTTCCCCTCTGGTAAGCTGTAATTTGATCATCTAGAAGCTTATTTTTGTTTTATTTAGTTCATCCATTTGTTTGGTTTCTCTCTATGCCACATTTGCATGAAATCATATTGTTCTTGAGTTTGATGGAGAAGACTCATGAGTCATTGAACACTAGGCACAATTTGAAGTGGATTTTACCTTTGTTTCATATTATTATTCCCATTACACACACAGATTGAGGAAACATACATTTCTGAATATCCCATCCTCTTTACTTTTTTGCCTTTCTTCCCTTTTCACTTCTTTTAGTTAACAATTCATTGAACCACTGCTCTATTCTAGGTCTTATGGTATAAGAAGGCAAATATGATTCTTACCTCATGGAGCTTATATTTCTGGAGGGTGTGTGGGGAAAAACAAGCAAGTAAGTGAATACTTTAATCACAAATTATAATAAATGCTACAAAGAAAAAACTGAAAGCTGAGAGAATATCAGGGGAAGAGCTTACTTTAAATGAGATTAGGGAAGGTCTCTTTAAGGAAGAGATATTTAAGGTGACCCTGAGAAATGTACAGCATAAAATGGCTGTGTAGGTTAAGAAAGAATCAAAGATCCAAAGGATAAGAACTCAGCATGTTCAAGGAACTTTCAAAAAGCTAACATGGTTGGAGTAAAGTAAGAAAGGCAGAAAATGGATGAGATGAAACTGAAGTTGCCACATTGCCTGATGGATTTTGAGGCACTGAGGAGTGCTCAAAACAGGGCAGGACTTTAGGTTCAAGACAAAACTGATAGTGTTGTGGCCATGCTTTCATTAGGGAAGTCTTTTGCACTCCCTTTTGACTAAAGCAATGTTTTGTTTGCTTTTGGCTTGGAAGCAGTTGAATAAATAGTTGGATCGCTGCAAGGTGCAGTGGCTTACCAAGATAAACCCAGCTTCGATTTCCAACACTTCTACTTATTAATGATATGACTTTGGCCAAACATATAATCTCCTTGAGTTTCAGTTCCCCTGTCTGTAAATTGTGAATAATAATGACTAGGTTTCAAAAGTGGCTCTGAGAACTAAGTGAGGCATTTAGTAGCTACTTAGTCCAGGCTCTCTTTAAACCCCTCTTTACCAAGATGACTCTTAG